CGTTCGCTGCGGACGCGCACGCCTCGAGTGGCCTCCGGACGACACGCCCACCGAACGCCGTCGCCGCCACCTCCGTCTCGCGCCGCCGCCGCCGCCGTCACCGTCGTTACGGGAACGCGCGGAGCGGTCGTCGTCGTCGTCGTCAAAGGGACCCGCGCGGGGCCGTATCATAATAACTATAATATAATTATCTTCAATTTGTACTTTTCGTTAAACAATCCCGCCCAGACGACGGTATTTGATAAAACCCGGAACGCGCACGCCGACTTATCCGTTGCGTTATCTCCGGTCGCTCGCTCGCGACAAATTTGACGGAACGAGCGGGCACGATACAAATTACGCGTTCGAGGGACGAGCGGAATTTAAAAATGTCCGTGTCGTAATGTTACCATACCCTGCCGGCGAGTTTAACAGTGACGGAAGAACGAAACGACAATAGTATCGGAATAGAGTCCGGTCGCCCTTAAGAAGATGTGTTACGCAATACGGTCAGGACGCATGTGCGACGTATTACGATGAAACCGTTGCGGATGCGGTGAAATGGAAACCGGAAGGCGATGTAGAGCTAGGTCGACCGCGGTCTACGGGGATGATAGTGGGAGCGGGAGATCCTAGGACCGTGCATGTACAAGTACAGCAGAATGCAGAGGAAATGATCTACGTATTGTATTACATAAATGTTGTTGCTTGTAAAAACTTGGAATCCGTTTGGAGGACATAATTTTTATAGAAATAATAAATCTCTTCAAGCAAGATCACGTTGCACGACTGCCGTTAATAACCGAGATGATACGTTTATAAATTTAAAGAAATGATTAATATGCTGCACAAACAGCGCCTGCTTACAAGTCCGCTGATGGACAATAACGTCTTGGAACGCCGGGGTGCCGCTTTTTATACGAGCAGTGATGATTTTTTTGATAAACAAGTGTAATATTTAATGACTTATATTTTTCAAATGTATGTCAACAACTTCCAGATATTTTTTTCGGTTAAAATACCCGTTTATGAAACACATGTTATGTAATTGTGTATGAATTTTTCAATATTAAAAGAAATGTCTTCATTAAAATAGTGCCTTTTGTAGACGGCGTATTTATTATTACCGTATCATGATTTTTCTGCATGTGTTGTCCAACATAAGTTTGTACATCTTCATTACAGTTTGTATAATGTTTCATGCACCTAAAACATCTTTATATGACAAACTTGAATTCCTCTAACGATTCCGTGAACTCTGGATTAATATTATCATTATTAAATACTTATAAATATAATTAGCTTATAAATACACACTCTGCGTACGATATGATATAGCATTTTGTATGGATATACTATTTTAAAATAGTATTTATGTGTACTGTATTTAACTAAAGGTAATTTCGTATGATTGTACCTCATGTATTAACCTGAATGTCTTTTTTCCTACATAAAAGTTTCAATATGTATTTTGCAATTACAAATTTAATAACTTATTGATTATCCAACTATTGTTGGATTACTTAAGTAATATTTATATAACTTAGATGAACACTACAATCAGGTGCTACATATTTAACACAAAAGATTATATAATATAATTACATTCAACAATAACCTATGTAAGCCGTGCACCTTTGATTTTGAAAATTACTTACACTTTCATATGTATATTATATAAAAGTACTTGAATAAAAACGAAACGCTTTTCCTATTTTATGTATTGAAACGTATAATAAATTATAAATAAATAATGAGGAAACGAAAAAAAAGACAAGTAAGTATGAATATATACATAAACACATAAATAGTTAGTGTATCAACACATAACGATATTACAACAAGATTAAATGTATTGAGTTTTAACTCCTAAATCGAAAAATTTAAGTAGGTATACATTTTCATATAATTTAATAGGTATGTTTATAGGTATACATATAACCACCATTTTATAATATTTTTGTATTATACACGCGGTGGTGCATATATAATAATTGAAAAATGTTTTAAACTGATTTTACTGTTGAAGTGTGTGCGATTTACATAATCATGCGATATTTATAAAAATAGTCATAAAAATGTTTAACAACGTTGTCACGTTACGGCCTATGGTGTTGTCAAACACTGAATATAATTATATGCGCGTGATTTAGTGTATTACTTAAAGAGAATATATTACGTGTACGCGTTTAAAAAATGCGTATTTATTATATACGTGTGCAGTATGTATACGGTATAATTATGTCGAATTAATGGACGTGTAAAAGTAAATGATAAGAAGGAAAAACTTTTTTTTTTCAACTTTTACCCGGGTGAATAGGTGCGGCACCTTAAATTTTTATTATTTATAATAGTTTTTATCCTTGTGCACGCGTTCGCCGGAATCTATTGCAGCGTTATTTATATTCTCTTTGCGAGTCATGGCGTAAATTATAATAATATTATGTATATAGTTTGTTGTTAATTTTCCGGTCTGAAAAGTTGCTGCCCGTGTAGTGCTTGCCGTATATGAAACGAGAACTTTTTTTTATTCTTCACTGTTTAGTCTATATTTAACTTTTTTTTTTTATTATTGAGATATTCGCATGCTTATAAATATAAATTTAAAAACGAATACCTATGCATATTCTCTGAAACTACGAATATACTCTTTCGATTATCTCATTTTTTTTTTTTTTTTTTTTAAATAAAAGAGTTCATTGCCAAGCAGTTTTTAGCAGGGACTGTAACTGGACCGAAAGTAACCGGTTATAGAACCGGGAACCTTGTGTTAATTGTGAACCGGTACCTCAACGGAAACCATTTTTTTCAACTGTTAAAAAAAAACCTAATCAAAACCGGAACCTAATTTTTAAAGTTTGATTTATTTCGGTTTATTTGGGTTATAATTTTTTATCTGTAAGTAAATTTATTAAAGAAATTATACTATTTGTTTGACGTTTACAGTATTATTTATTATTTAATTTATATTTTTCAAGAATATTTTATAGTATGCATAATGGAAAAAATATTATAATTATACTAATTTCTTGCAATCCAGTCTATACGGACTATTTTTCAAAGAATTAAAAGAAGTGAAGTACCTATTAATTAATAATATATTAATAATTGATTATAGTTTATAAACTATAATATAACTGGGCATTACCGAGTACTATTTAAAAATATTCAAACGAAATTATTGACTAAAGGGGAAGTCGAAACTCGAAAATGTATTAAAAAATAGATCTAATTTTCCCCGCCATACTTATAATGAAAACAAGTTAATTCAAGTTAATTTAGCAATATATAAATAAATAGCGTGTAGTGTCACGATTTAATAATAATACAATTATTATGATGATAATAAAATATTAAAATAGACAGAAACGCCGACATTCGACGACATTCCAGTCCACTATTTATTCGTGAAAATATGAAATAAAAAATATTAAATCAATGGTTTTAGAACATAATTAATATAGGCTATAGTCGTTAGTGACTACGAAAGGTGTGCCAAAAGATTTGATCTGGGTGTCGTTTACATCGTATAAGTACCTACTAGGTATTATTGATTGCGTATTTGCGTCTCATGGGTAATAAGCAATAGGCCACATTACTGGATACACATTATTATATGTTATTATATTATTCACATAATAATATTACCTACTATTATTAAATTTTCCGTATTCTGCTGGCGACTGCCGCGTATTGTCACGTTTATTAAATATAGTATATTTTGAATTTTCGTATTAATTATTAAATTATTGTATTATTTAATATTAAAATAATTATGGCTCGCCGTACGCAGAATTCTGTGTGTGGTTATTTCACGTATAACGAAATATTGAAAAGATCCAAGTGCAAAAGTTGTGGATCAATATTGACTGTAAATATCCATTAAATTATAAATTATAACATTTATATTCTATACACAATACCTAGAATAATGATGTAAATTAGCCTGTGGATTTATAGCACTACATCACCAATATCTAAATTCTGATAATTTTTGAACTTTAAAATGTATATTAGGTACAAAATTGTAATTTTTGTTACGTATTATATAAAAATGAAATTGTTAGATATAGGAATACCTATCACTATGGACCAAGGTGAGGCAATCCATACTACAGATCCAACATTTTCAAAAAGGAAAAAATAAATAAAATATAGTTATGTTATATAAATCTCAACCTAAATCATAACACTCTTACGGTTGGAAATTATAATATATGTATAATAGTACAATGTACTTAATATATAGTAGGTTTAATGAAAGAAAAATAGAAATTAGTTTTTGAATTAGGTTACAAAGAATAACATAAAGACGTACACACATAAAGTAGGTAGCTATACAATTAAAATCATTTAAAATTCTAATTTAAAAATATTTTTAGGTAACAGGCTATAACCTGAATTAACCACAACCGTAACCTCAGTTTCATATTTTTAAGATTTATGATTTAAACTGAAACTTTGGGAATTTTTTTCTGAAAAACCTAACCGAAACCGAAATCGAAAACAACATAAAGGTTACAATCCTTGATTTTTAGGCTTAATTTAAATTCTATAAGTTAATTGAGTACATAATATAACATAGTTGTATATTTTCAATACTTCACGACACAGTGTGGGAAAAAAATACATTCGTCTAAATTTCATGTTCATACTGTCAATTAAATGACCCCTGGGTAGCTAAAAAAAAGCTTAAAAGCTAGCTTGCTGCCAGTTCTAAGCCTGGATTAAAATTAGAAGGAAAATGACGATTTATAATTTTATTTGCCAATACTAACCTAACCTAACATAAAGATAATTTACGTCATTCAGCTAATATTATATAAATATTAAGTGAACCATATATACATATACTGTATTTAATAGTTATATTCAATGTCGTTTGAAAATTGATATCTGTGCACTGAAAAATGTTGTTAAAAATGATTCCAATTTATAGGTACCTATATATTTATACATAA